AATTTCTTAAATGTATGATGCTTTTCTTTAATTTTATTTCTTAAACTGTGTGTGAGCCAACCTGGTTTTTCACTTGTAGCTACCCTTTTCTTTCTATTAGGAATATGTTTACATTGAATATTTAAAATTTTTCCACGTATGTTGCAATATGTACTAGTATACAGTCACCCTTATTTTCAATTTAAAATGTTAAACATATTATTTGACTGAACTAAAGAATGGAAAAAATAAAACGAAATTTAGTATAATTTACCTTTCAATGATTTTGCATATTTCAAAAGATGTCTATAAGGATGGTCAACTTGCAGATCAAACTTCATGGTCTGAAGAAGAATCCTTTCTAATGTCATGACTTCTTCCTTAAAAAATATACAAGTTGTATTATATTTCATGTGTATATTGTATTTACGTACAGGAGAGATAAAACAAAATTTTGTTATCAATGTATTTATAATGTAAAGATTTTAAGGTGAAAATTTCAATTTTACTCAAATAGTCAAACTAAAAATAATTACTTCACATCTTTAAGTAGACTCATTGTTTCGATTTATAACTTATGTGTAAAACTGATACTTTACCTCTCTATTTGACTTAATACTATTTATTTATTCAATAATACAGGACTCATACATAATTTGTTTTATTTGTTATGATGAGTATTAAAGTTTATAGCAATAATAAATATCAATATAATAACCATGTTCAATTCATTCAAGACACCTACATGAATAGGAGGCCAAAACATTACAAAATGTACAAGATTTTGCATTTCTGTATTATTTTCTCTGTCCCACCACACTTTCATTAAATAAGCAAAACTCAAGGTATCTGTAGGTTATTTTCATTCTTAGATTTCTAGTTCTACCTTTGAGTCCTCTCCAAATTGTAAAACTTGTTGCTCTGTTAGAAAGCTTTGCGCCATTTTGATTATATCTTTACATTTCTTGGGGGTTTCTTCAACTTTCCCAGCAAGAAACAAACAGCTACAAGCAGTTACCTGAATAAACATTAAGGAAAAACCTCATTCCAAGGTTAAAATGGTATATATATGTGTCATTAATAATTTGCACTTAAATGTAAGGGTTAACAGCTAAGTATCTTTAAATAACCTGAAATGCAGATTTCTATTAGAATAAGATTAAAAAGATCTTTCGAATGCTTAACTTGTAAGCAATTTCCTTCTCTTGACATTAACTAATGTGCTGTCAAATAGTAACTTTGTGTGTTGGTAGATTTGGCAGCTGCTAAAACCTTAACTTTTTTTATTATTATTTATATTTAAACTTCATTAAGTACGCATATCAAAGACAATCTTTGTATTTCAAAAAGTAATTACACTTTTTTTTTTTATGTATACGTATTCACATAGAACCTGACTAAACAGTTAAAAGAATATACTAGAGTGAAGAAACAATAAACTTTGTAAATTAATAAAATTACAGCAGATTTTTTTAAGAGCTCAAGAATAATGTTAAATGTAAACAACAACAAAAACGGAGTAATAAAATTATAATGGACTCACAAGTTACCTCTATTCATGAATTCAATATATTTGTATCCAAGATAAAATGGTACACAGTTTTTTCTTCTAAGAACAGAGGGTTTTTACTGCAATGGATTTCTTTAAAGCATGCACAAATGTAATATCACTAATAACTAAATATTCCTCATTTGCAATAGAGCTGACAGTGGGAATTTCAATATCACAAGAGTAAAATTTTAATTAAAATTGTTAACCGTCTTACTAATTAATTTTTAATCAGTTTTTACTAATAAGATTGATAAGCATTGAAAAGTTGAATTCTTTCAATATTTTAATTAAAGGTCTCAACATGAAGAAAGTTTTTTGTTAATTAATTTATAGCTGGAATGACAGGATGAAAAGTATAAAAAAAAATAGACCAAGTGACATTTCTGTCAACTGTGGATTCTTAAGGCACATCTCACAACATGGTTGAATTTTAAATTAATTTTTAGTACTAGCTAAAACTAATTTGGAAGTAACAGAAAGTACAAAATCATTAAGAATTTCCTTACTGATAACGAAAAATCATTCAATCCAAAGCAGACTAACAAATTTTAAATAAATTCTTAACTTTATTTGTTAATTCTAATTATATGGTATTCTAAAAATTAAACCAGTTTTAACATATCTAATGAAAAACCTAATATGTTTTATACTAGGGTTGTCAACCATCTCCTACTTCCTATATTTACCCTCTATCTTTTGATGTCTTGTTAAAGACCAACTAAAATTCCTGTATTTTAAAACATTCGATTTCTTACTTACAATTAACACCTTGAAACTACTGAGAATCTTTAGAAATTTGAAATGTATGTGCAGATAATCTTGTATTTCCATTTTGAAAAGGTGACAACTCTAGTTTAAACAAATTAAAATTTTCCTCAATAGAAAAAATATACTTACATATTTTGGGAAAGTCTTAAATGAATGAATCATGTAGAAACGATGAAAGTACATCACTCCAGTTGCAATTGTATCATACCTTCTGAGTAATTATTTATTAAGTATTCATAAGGAAACAGCAGATTAAAAGCTTGTAAATAAAACCATCTAAACTGTGTCACTAAGTATACTGCAAAAAGAAAACACCAACACAAAACATGCCTCTCAGTTTTCAACTACACTGTACAAGTGACACAGATCACTGAGAATCGATTAGTCCTAGAGTAATATCAGTCCCCCCCATACATTTTTTTAACATTAAGTGACACCAGTTTTGATGTTGCTTAAATTCAATATCTTAACAAAATGTTTTCCCTCATAACATTTAATTTTTTTAAACCACTGGTAACTTGTATAATGTTCACTAACTAATTATGGAAGTTCAATAGCTATTTTGTAAACAAACAAACTGATATCTGAACATTTCAATGTTTATACAAAACTGTAAATAAAGAATACAATCCCATTTTAATTCCCATATTAATGATGAATCGAGCTCCTTCCTTCCTGTACCACTGTTCTGTTTCAATACTGATCCCATCTAAAACAGACGGGGTGTTGCGAAGATCTTTCTTGTCATAGTACCATGATGGCATGTTTTTTTTTTGTAAATCCTGTGAAAAAAAAAAAAAATATATATATATATATATACATGGTGACTAAAAGCAACAAATTAATTGATCATTCTGGTGAAGTAAAAAGAGATTCTGCGAAATTCTTTTTTAAGGAAACGTGATATGATTTTTATAAATTACAAACCTTGAAATAAAACATGCCAGATGAAAAATTGACACTCCACAAACAAATTACATCTTTCCTAATTTCATAAACTTAAAACTATTTTCCAGCTACTGCTAGATTATTTAGTAGATATGCTAGATGAATTATTAATAAAACAGCCTCTAAAAGGTAAAATTTAAAAAATAAATACATATGAAGATGCCACTTTCATCCTAATATCAGCTTGAAATACTATTTAGCAGTTGAAAAACAAAATGCTTGAAGTATATAATATGATTAGCTCCTTCTTCTGTTCATTGCTTATGGGTGTATTTTGAGAAATGTTTTGATGATTATGATGCATTCCGAGTACAAAAATAATTTAATAGAATCATGAATTTTTAAGTTAACTCCCTAACAACCACCCATTTTAATTTCTTACTCGAAATACACGTGAAGTTACACTGTCGTAGAAATACTTCAAGGTTCTATTACTACATTACTAATTAATGAATTAGGCATACTATTACTACGTGGTTTTATAATTTCTATTCAATTTCGAAATGTTTCCGTATATATTTAGGGTATTGAAATTTACAGGGAAATCTCCGTATGTTTTCATTGTCCAATTTGTTTCACTAATTTTTATTTTTTTTCTACCACTTTCAATAATTTAAGTTTAAAATTAAACGCAACAATTACTTGTGACTTGCGAATAATTATACTCACACCTTATCAGATAAAACTTTCTATTTCTTATCTTAATTATATTACTTCACATTAACAGTAATATTAAGTTGAAATTCAGTGTCAACACATCCTAACTTTAAACGTATTTACCTATCAATAACTTCATTAGGCCAAATTTATGTGAATTTGATATTAAACACCACATTCCAACGTTTAAATTACACATATTTGCAAATACAAGAGGAAAACGCCCTCTAGATAAAATCTAATACCTATATTTATATTTGATTAATTATGTCACGACCAACAACAACTCCCGTAAACCTGAGACAGTTCTTTCATTGCTCGATATTTCACCCTACGGCTTAATCAAAAGCTTATCGTTACAAATACTGAGGTACAAGAAACATACGTTACAGTTTAACATATTGCACATATTAAGAAAAGCATGGATTCCGTTCATAATATATGATCTCTAAGTGTCCTATAGTAATTACATTAAAGAAGAGGACTGTAGGGCGTGGCCCATATATAATTGAATTGGGACCCGAATATCACCCCTTCCCAGTATTTTGCTCAAAGCAATTTTTATTTAGACTTTTTTCTATGATAGAAAAAGACAAAATGAAAATTGTTTTGCGCGCAAGTACAGAAGGGAGGGTTCAGCTGAACCCATATTTCTGTGATAGCCAATCATTGAAATAACTAATAATAATATACTGTCGTTATACAGAGTTGTTTATAGTGTTAATATAATTTAACAATTAATAACTACTCTGTAAGTAGACAATACAGTACTTTACTATGATAAAACACACATATTTATGGAAATTTAAGTCTAGCTTCCCATGCAGTGTTACAACAAAATCATGATTTGTTGACTTTTCACTGGATGGTTGTGGATTTTGTGTCATGCAATTGTTTAAGCTATATTTCATGCAAAACTGCTTCCAGTTTTAATCTTATATTTTTTACAAATTTTCTGGAGGGCAGGCTTTGCATGCTGATTGTGCTTTGGCTTTTGATTTCACAAATTATAACTCCCCCCTTTCAAACATTCTGCGTACGAGCCTGCTACGCAGTTTGCTGACTTTGCAACCGAAATGAGAGGAGGCTACAATTCTTTTGAAAATTATAAATACTACACTGTTAGTAACTTTTTGTGTATCTGTATAATTTCCCCGAAAGGGGCCGAAGGCCACCTGCAGGGGTCACCTATTTTAACCACTCGCACTACTATGCTGTAGTGTGTTGTCTGTCAATCAGTCAGTAGACACTAAAATGACGTCACATAAGAGACGCTTAAAGGTGCAATTTGTGCTGTCGTGACGTCAGTAAAACGTTCGCATGCCACGAGTCACGAGAAGAATATGCACTCCCTAGCTACAACACAGCATGACATATGAGCTTACAAAAGC